TTTCTTTTGAAATTTCACACTTTGGTTATATATATATATATATTTAGCTATTTAGAATTTGGAATTCTCTTACGAAGTTTGCACATTGTTTTATTTTGATTTAAAATAGTGTAATGGTAGTATTATTTGTGATTATCTTTGTGTATTTTTAAGTTTAATGAGACTTTGTTTTATTACATGTAATGTGGTGTAATTTGTTTGAGTTTTCTTCTTTTCTAAATTGCATGTTATTTCTGTTTAGTTTAAAAGTTGTATTATTCTTTGACGAGAAGCCAGTTACTATTTTTGGTATTATGTAAATTTACTTTTTAATTTTTCAAAATGTTTAATTTAACCTTTGTTTGTTTATTATATATGAGTCTATAGTGAGTGAACTTTGTTTTGTGTAATTTTAGTAATCCAAAGGAGATCCCATAAAGTGAGATCAAAGCCGAATACATAATTTAATTAACTGGAGTGTTCACTAACAAAAACATGGTTGCAACACATTTGAAGGTATTTTGTTATTTGTTCATTTGTCTTTGTATTTTTTATTTATTTTATGTTATTTTTCATACATGATTTTATTTGAATTATGATTTATTAATGCCCTGTACCATTTTTGATCTACTTCTTTGGAATAATCTTTTATGTAATGCAAAAGAATAATTTTATTTATAAACTCTTCAACTAGAATTGTTAAGGTTCTTTACTTTGAATTGTATTAAACTTAAATACGGTTTATCTCACATGGATTAATTATCAGGGTGGTGCTAAGAAAGTAATCATCTTAACCTTTATCAAGGATGCACTCATGTTTATTATAGGTGTTAATGAAAAAGAATACAAGCTAGGATACAACATCATTTCCAATGCTAAATGTCATATTAACTACCTTGTACCCCTCACCAAGGTCTATCTTTGATGGTTATTTTTAAGTGACTTGATCTTTATTCTTGAAATTATCTTGATAATTTTACCATGAGTTACAAGTCATTCATGACAAATTCAACATTGTTCAGGGTCTTATGACAACTGTTCATTCAATTACTTATAAGATTTACAATTATATTCTTACACAGTTAATTAACTTAGTCTATTTTGTGTATTAATTGTGTTATTTTTCTCTTACTCAACTATCTAAAAACTATGGATGGTCCACCATTAAAGGACTTGAGAGGACGAAAAAATGCTTCATTTAACATCATTCCTACCAGCATTGAAACTGCTAAGGTAAGAACTGTGTCTAAATTATAACTTTACAAAGTTTATAAGAACTCTTACTTTTATTTCATAATTATCATTCTCATATTTTCTAGAGATTAATTTCTGCTAAGAATTTTGTTCATTGCAAAACAGAAAAATAATTAGTTCAATGAATTTTTTTTTCCACAAATATACATATAGGACCATAGTTTTGGTAGGTTAGGTTGTTTTTTCTTGGTATCTTTCACCGTATCAACATTCAATGTTAATTTTTTTGGGATGAATTTTATTTTTTCACTAGGTTATTAGAAAAATACTTCTGCTTTGAATGAAAAATTAATTGAAAAAGCTTTTCTGTATTTTCACTATTAATGTTTTAATGGTTGACCTCATAGTAAGACTGGAAAAACTAGCCTCTTATGAAAAAATCAAAGCTACTATCAAGTAATAAAGTTTTTTTGGTTGTACTTTAAAGTGTGCCCCTATTAAAGTTTTTTTTATTTTTTGCAAGAGTTGTTGAAGATTATTTTCGGATTAGGTTGAAGGTAAGTGAAAAGTTTGATTTTCTGTTTTGTTTCACTGTTTATCTTGGTTATGTTTTTTTTTGGGATTGTAGGTTAGTTTTGTTTATTTTGATGAATTTTGGTTATACAATGAATTTGTTATTTGATTTATCTTCGGTTGTTTATGATTTTGTATATGTTGGTTTCTTTTTACATGAATTGAAATGGCATTGTTTTTAATTATGAGATCATATTTTTTTACAGGTATAATTAGAGATATTAGGTACATTTTTTCTCTTTCTTATTTTCTCTTTCTAATTTTTTTACAGTTATAGTTTGAGATCTTAGGTGCATTTTTTTTGTAGGTATAGTTGAAGATATTAGGCATATTATTTTCTTTTAAAAATGAGGGGGACCGACTACAAATTTAAATGGCAACAAGATGCCAATCATTTTTCATTAATAAACCATATTGATCATTATTTATATATCTCTTCTAGTCCCATCCAGAACACGTCCTTACAACTCCATGTGTAGGGGTTGTTTATACTATTTTTTGACTTTTGATTTGGATGCTTCCTTAGAATTGTCACCATTTAATCTCTCTTTTTTTGTAATTTCTAACTTCTAATTAGTTGATTTCTTTATGCTTTCTTGCTTTCAATGTGTATATATATGTACTTTATGTATAAAGTTAAAATACTAATAATCGATCATCTTTTTCTCTTGACCCTTAAATCTTTATGAATTTTATTTCATTATTTTATTCATTATAAAATTCACATGTTAATTTAGATTTAAATTTTAATTACACTAGATTGAATAATAACAAGTAATTGAAATTCGACATTAAAAGTCTTACATAACATGAATATGGATAAACAATCCAAGTATTCTATTGTTAGGTAAGTTTAAGTACATGCAGTTTCATTCTCATGACATGTAGATACAACCATTTCCCTTTTCTTTTACTGTTAATTTAAAAATGTTGAAAACAAAAAAAAAATTTATAACAATACTATAACATTATGATGTTGCGAGGTTTGCATGTTGTTTTATTTTATTTAAAATGGTGTAAGGGTTACATTATTTGGGATGGGTTTCATGTTAAAAGACATATGACTTTGTATGTAACTGGTGCTTTTATGTGCAATCACTTTTTTTTTCATGATACAAGTCGTGCTAAATATTTGTACATTTGTAAGTTAATGGACTCATATATTCATTCAATTATAGATAAAAAAAAATGAGGGAAAAGTATGGCAAGCTAAACCAAATGGAGATGAGCATTTGGGAATGTTGTGAACTTCTTAAGGATGTAATTGATAAGATGACTTTGTTGAGCTTCAGATTGAACACTTGTTGCAAATTGCTGAGGCCATTAGAAAAGACTATCCTGATGAGGATTGGCTGTATCTGACAGGCCTTATCTATGGTATATTTAAGACTTTTATTTCTTGAGAGTCATACTTAAGACCCATGTTTCATAATTTGCAAAATTGTGTATTGTTAACTACTGCTCTGTTTCTTTTATGCGGTTTAAACCTTGGAAAAGTTCTTCATCATAACTTTGGAGAGCTTCCCAAGTAGACTATTATAGGTGAGTGTCATTTGCTACATCTACAATAGTTTATATACTGTATTGATAAAAAAATGATAAATGTCATCCTCTAATTAACCAATCATATTTCTAATTTCTAATCATGATCCATGGTGTTATAAATGAGACATATCTTGTTGGATATGCTTTTGACAAATCAATTGTTCACCATAAGGTAATTATTTTAAACCTCTATATAAAAAAAAAAAAGTTTACAAACAACTCATTGCTTTGAAAATTCTAACAAAGTCTTTGCATCTTACAATTTCTAATTCTATTATGTTGTTGGCACAATATTTTAAAGAATATCCTGATTATCACAACTTTGTTTACAACACTAAATATGGAATGTACTTTGAGGGATGTGGACTTAATAATGTGATGATGTCATGGAGGCATAATGACTACATGTATATAGTATCTCTCCCAATATATCTATGTCTAGGATATGAATTGGCAATGCCTTAATGATATCACTTTTAGCATCTAGAATATGTTATAAGGCAAATTAATCTTGGAATCTTTATTCAAGTGGCCAAACAGAATTATACAACTTTGCCATAGTAGCTCTTTTCATTATCAGATACCATTCATTTATGGTAAGAAAAAAAATAATAAAAAGAAATATCCAATTTTAAAATTTTCAATTCTTTGAAGATTAATTCAATTGCGATTTATATATTCAACTGAAGCACTTTATATTACAGTGTTGCATAAGTCAAGAGCATACAAGCATCTAATGAATGAGGAGGATGTTGAGAATCTGAAATGGCTCGAAATATTCAAGTATGGTTTAATTGCATTTATCTTGGAATCCAATCGAAATTCTAGACACATTAAGATTATGCATTACTTGATTGCTATCTTGTACTTAACTCTTTTCCCCAGTTACAATTGTGCAACAAATATGACCTTTGTAGCAAGAGCAAAGTCCAGATTGATGTTGAAAAGATTAAGCCATTTTATGTCTTTCTCATTGAAAAGGTCAGAAGAACTTTAAGCTTTACTTGATTCCTAATCCTTATGATGTCCTACACAATTTGTTGTTAATATCAATGCAACTTTTTTGTAGTACTTCCTAGCAAAGTTAAGATGGTGAATCTTGGTTCTTTCTGACTCGTCAATTTAACATCTTATAAGCTTGAACTTATTCGATTTGTTTAATAACTCGTATTCATAATTCAGACAATGGCAGCAAATGCTTTGTATTAAGAGAACCCGCCGAATAAAATTTGGCAATGATAAAAAATGGTAAGTAATATTATGCTAGCCAAGTGGAAAGCTAGCCAAGTTGCATGATTAGAGTTATGAATGCAAGGTGTCATGAAGATAAATTCCAACAAAAAAAATCTAAAGATTAAAGCCCTAAGATCAAAGAATCCCTAAAAGGGGTTGTGCTTTACAAAATCCAATAAATAAAATTATTATTTGTATCCAATTTTACTTATTATGTTTTTAATAATTTTACTTATAGATAAATAAAACTATTCGAAATTTATTATAACTTATAAAAATGGATAATAGATAAATATATAGAAGGTGATATAAAATAAAAATATAAAAAATGAGTGACAATTAAGAAAATAATATAATTACACGTATCATTTTAATTTTTAATTCAAATAAATATTAATTTAATAAAATATAAAAAATTATCATAATAGACTTGGCGAAGCCAGACCTCCTTACTAATTATTAGATAAAAAAAAAAAAATCAGCCGAGCAGAAGCCCTATAAGTGAATGACAGGTGATAAATAATTGATCGTCTGCAAGAACATTGAAGATTGAATTTTGATCGCAAAAGTTAATCAATACGGTAAAGATCAAAGTGCCCTAAATAATTACGCAAAAATTCAATAGCCCACCATGGTGATGGCATGGCTTATGAGTGCCACCGGGGCTTGCAAGTTGAGAGGACTCAGGCCATCCTTGTGTTTCGGGCCATTTGGCATTTGGAACGGGCTCATCCCCTGCCCCAATTGACCCCCTATCCACATCCAATGGTAGGGATTTTCGTTGGGAATATATCTTTTGTTCCAATAGCCGAACAGGAACACTGGAAAGAGCAGATATGGCATTCAAGTGAGTGTGTCTCAATATTTTAAGATTTCCATGCTTTAAATTTAGACAGAAAGGCCAAAGAGAGGAGTTCAAATAAGTTATGGCGTACTCTTCTCCTAATCCTTCTGCAATCCCACAACGCCTCTCTTTCTTCTCAAAACCCTTCCCACCTCGCTGTAAGTTCTCTCTTTGTCTTAATATGTTAGTTATACATGTGAAATAAGTTAAGGATTTGAGCTATGGGCTGTTTAGAGCTCTGCATAACTTGCCATTTCCTTTCAAGGGAATTGGAGTTAGACTTTTGCCATGTTTTTTTCACTGCTCCTTATTTATCTGATGTATGACGGTAGTTTGAATTTTATATTCATAGTTGTTTTGTATTGCACCTTCGGGCTAACCTTTTTACCCAAATTCTGAAACTTTGGATAGTTATTAAAAGTCTTTCCATTTTAGGTTCAATTTCAGAAAGATTTCTTATCCTTTATAACATTTGGGGACCTCTTATATATGAATTAGCTAACTACTGTAAGATACTCTAGCATTAGAATCTTAAGTATAATTCTTCTTTCTCAAGAGAATTCATGAAAGGTTTGGGGCAATAATATTTTTTTCTATGAATTGGGTTGCTTCATGATGGTTTTGCATGAACCTTCATGTGAAATTTGGATGATTTGAGTGTGGATGTTAAAGATGGCTCCATTCTTTGCAACTGATAATGGGATTGAATGTAAAAGTAATTTCATGATATGAACATTTTGCATTGAACTCAGTGATAATGTAATACAATTTATTTGAAGGGAAACAAGCTGTATTTATCCATTCCTATTGGATTTTCCAATAAGCTCTGAATTGAGGTGGTGCATCTGTTACTCCAAAGTGTGTATTTCTGTTTTTGTGGCTATTTTTAACAGCAAAATAAATATTTTAGAAATTGTCTTTCCTTGCTTTAAATGGCAGTAAACTCGAGTTCGGTTGGAGTTCAGGTAAGATCCAGTTTGGAAAATGAGAACTGTGCTCCAGGAGTTCCAAATGATTCATTGGAACCTGCTAAGAAAAAGGTTTCACTTCTTCTCTACTAACATCTAATTTGTTATTACTCCTCAAAGTCATGACAGCATACCAAAAACCAAAGAGTCCTCAAGCCTTTTTGAACTGCAGATTAGCACACGATGGGTTGAAACCTCATTATTTGCAAAATACTTTATAGTCTTAATTTTAGGTTCCATTTTTTTGCTGCAGGGGGCCCAAGCATCAACATCACGGCGTTTTTGTCTTACATGTTTATGTTCTAGTCTAGCTTTGATCAGCAGTTCTGACACCTCTGTTTCAGTAGCTAATCCAATAGCTACAGATGGGAATGAAAGGGCTGTATGCCGGAATTGTGGGGGGAGTGGTGCTGTACTTTGTGAGTCTCACTTTTGCAATTTCTTTCATACTTTTTTTTTCTACTTTGCTGGATGTTCTAACCATGTGAAACGTACATGTATATATCTTATAATCTTCTTTTAAGTCTTCTTTTAACCTGCTCTACTTATACTATCCTTTTCAAAAGGCAAAAATATTATGAATTCTTGATTATGTTTTACTGCCTGATTGCACATATAATCAAAAGATAGTGCAAAAGTCCTGGCACCATTGATTTGTATGCATTAAATAGTGGCACCTAACAATTTTGTTAGACTGGTTTATTTTGTTCTTTGTCCTACAAGAAGTAGATGTGGTTTTTTCATGTATTGTCCTTACTACATGGCTGGCTGCCATGGGTCCATCTTATTTCAAATTCTATGATCTTTTTAGGGAAAGCGCTTTTTGAATGCATAGATTTCGGATTAACTTTAGTGTTTAAAGAGCTCAAAACCATACTTCTTGTAATTATTGATGACATTGAACTGTCTCTTCTGTTATTTGATATTGATAACTTGTTCTTTCTATTCATTGTCCAAATAAAGAACAAAAATCTTGCAAAGTTCAGAGTTAAGAGTTTTGTGCAATTGTTGCTCCTCTTTCTGATTCAGAAGATGTTAATTTGCTCTTTATTTAGGTGATATGTGTGGTGGTACAGGAAAATGGAAAGCTCTCAACAGGAAACGTGCTAAGGATGTTTATGAGTTTACTGAATGTCCAAATTGTTATGGTAGGCACTCTTTTACTAATATTACTTCTTAATTTGCTATATCAACCAAATGAATGTTAGCCAGTTTTTGTTTTTTTTTTTTTTTGTTTTGAATTGCTATGCTGCTTGCATTGAGCATGCACAAACCTGAAGATTATTCCACATTGTGGTTGATTGCCTTGGGATACTTTTAAACTTCTCACAGATTGTATCATTATCTTTTTCGTTCAAAAATGATGTTAAATTATAAATGTGAAGTCATGTCAGTAACTCAGAATTTAGCTGGAATTTCATCTTATGATACTTGATGACAATTGAGCTGAACGCACACCTTCCCTGACCTAGTTACTGTTACAGCATAGAAGTTGGTTCCAAACACTGCATGCCGTGGCTAAATGTTATTAGTAATTGACCAATTCTATTGTGTTTGCATAGAAAAGACTCGATGTCTGTTTTATGTTTAGTCATATACTCAATATGTAGCTTGAGATTCTGAACTGTAACAGAACTTTCTTCTATTTAGCTATTTTCTTTCCCAAAGCGTCCACATTCAGTTTTTTATGACAATTGATCACTAGCTGCTGCTGTGAGCAGGTCGGGGGAAACTGGTGTGTCCTGTTTGTTTAGGTACTGGTTTACCAAATAATAAAGGTCTTCTAAGGAGGCCTGATGCGCGGAAATTGCTTGACAAGATGTACAATGGTCGACTTTTGCCAAATTCTTAAGTAAGTCCTTTTACTTTTTCATTAAACCCGTCATGCCTCTAGGCCCTAGCTCTTGTTGATGTTGGCATCATATTAATTTAGTTTAGAGCAATAATAGGTTACTTTATGAAGCTTCAAAAAATTTTCCAACTTGGTTTTGTTTTTACAGTACAAATTCGATAGATGTATCTATTATTTTGATCATTGTCTGACAGTTAGGAACTTTGATGCAATTTTTGTCAACAAGATGAATGAAACCAGAGACAGTATATACAGTGATTGTTAGTCCAATTACCACAACAAAATTGAGAAGCTTTTACTCTATAGTATAGCTACAAAAGTGTATAAAGTTTTGATTGTCAAACAACTGCAATTTATTTGCTTTTTGTTTAATATGGGGAGGATCACATAAAATTGTTAGAACTTATTTTTGTTACACTATTGGATTTGCAAAGTTATTTATATTTAAATGATATTATTAAGGCATCATTTTTGTTTTTTTTTTTTGTTTTATGTTTTCATTTTCATTTCTTAATAACCAAAAACGTGTTTTCAGAAAATGAGAACGAATTTTTTTTTTTCCCATTGTTTGTAGAAATATGTTTCAGTCTATTAGCTTTTTAGGTGAGATGGTGATCCAAGAAGGAGAATGAATTGGATTTCTCCAAATTCTTTCCAAACAATAATTTCAATATAGTTGAATGGAAACTAAAACAATAGCACTTTTGATGGAAATATAATGCAAACAATAACAATTAATGAACCTAAAATCAAATATAAACAATAATAAGTTGTAATGAGATAGGGATAGAGAAATCAAACACAATGATTTATAGAGGTTCGGTCATTCTTCACAAGGCATTTACGTCCTTTCTCTTGGTTGTCCACACCAAGGCTTCAATCCACTAATTGAAGAAAAATTCTTATAAGATACAAATCTATCTTGTACTAAATCTCTATCTTTTTTTCAAAGCTTAGATAGCAACATTTACCTTTACAATATCAAGAGAATGCCTCACATTTTTTTCTCTTCCACTTTTGTATATCAAAGGTAATTTTATAAACAATTGAACAACCTCTCTAAGGCTAAGTGTTTGCTAAGTTTAAGTACAAGAAAATGATGAATGAACAACAAATATAATTTGGATATAATAAATACGAAGATATGGACTTTGAAGCTCTAAAAACTCTTGATTCTTTGAGAGAATGAAAATATGACTTATTGGCTCTTGTTCTCTTGATTTATTAATCCTCTTGGTGTGTTGCAGTGTCCAATTTATAAAAAAATTGAAGAAGTATCCGTTGGAGAAGCTTGGAGTGAAGAAATGCCCGTTGGAATCATGAAAAAGTAGCCGTTGGTGTGCTTGCGTTAAAAATCGATCGATCCCAGGGGATCGATTGGTTAATGGGGTGATCGATCCCCTATATGGGGGATCGATCCCTTTTTTGGATTTTCAATCCTGGGAGCATTTTGTTTGAAAAAGCAATTGATCCCTTTTAGAGGGGATCGATTCTGTCTATGCTGGATGATAGTCTCTCGTTTTGTACTCTATTTATTAATTTGATCATATCTTGAGTTATATAAATCTAAATTATAAATCGTTTGAAGATTTAGAAACTATACTTAAAGGTCTTTCTATCCATATAAAGTTCATCACATTTTCACTGTGTACGAATTATAGTGAATTTTTAAATCTACCTCTTGTGCAGTTTTTTTTACAACTGCAGTGTGTCTAATAAAAATTCAAAATTTTTTTTTAGAAAATCTGAATTTTGATTTTGTTTTATCTATTAGAAAGTAAACTTAAAGAGCTTTCCAATCATATAAATTCAAATATTAAAACTTTGTGAATTAATACAGAAAAATAAAATAAGTTCAATGTTGAAAAATTTTGTTATTGTAAAACAGCTTTCTTAAATTAATTTATTTCTCAAAACCAATATTGTCAAAATTGTATTAAGTTCAAAATGAATAAATTCACTTTAAAAATAAAATTTGGATTTTCATTTAAACTTAAATAAATAATCTTTAAAGATAGATTTGATTTGAGAAATATGAAAACAAAAAAGATTTGTTTAAGCTTTAAAAATTATATTATTTATTTAGTATCAAAATATAAAACTTAAGAATATGTATTAAATAAATTTTTTTCAAAATCTTGATCAAGTTTATTTAGCTTAATGTTTTGTCATTTCAAAATAAAGATCAATTCAAGGCTAACAATCTCTCTTTTTTTTATACGACAAAACTTAAAAATAAATTTGCTTGATGAAAAAAACTTTCATTGAAACATTTAAGATTTTGAAAAATATTTTGGAAAGCTCCCCCTTAAACAATGCATGGTAAAACTCTCTCTTAATTTATGCATCTTTATCCAACATAACTCACCAAACATATGTTAGAGCATATATATCAAATAAACATAATCAAACATATGCATATCAAACACAAGTAAATTTGTCTATATGATATTTCTCCATCTTTTTGTCATAACAAAAAGGCATGAGCATATTAACGAGCAAATAAACACAAAGAGGCATCATTAACAAATATATTCATGAAATGTTTTTTCTCTTTATTGTTTAAGCTCTTTATATCAAATGTTTAAACTCCTATATCAATTGCAATAAGCATACAAGAAGAAATATCTTTAGACTTTTTTGCCCTTTTTGTCATTTCAAAAGAAAAAAAAATCAATTCAAGGTATAAGACAAAATGCTTGATACCAATAATATCAAAAGTATTTTGAATTCATGTAATCAAGTATAATATGCACGATAAAGTTCACATACATGTATTCAAATACAAAAGCATAAGTGTATATAATTTTAGCGTTTTAGCATAAGTCATCAAATTTACTACATGAAATTTATGAGCAAAGGATAATAAATGATATACAATCTACTCATAAATTATGTTAGGATAAGATGTGCTTAGAACCTAAAACATCAATAACAATTAAGTATAAATTCAAGCATATGCATACAAGCTCATATCAATTGTTATGGATATCAAATGTTAAAGATATGTAATGATAAAGTATACCAATTATCACAAAACAAATCAAGTAAAATTATATTCTAAAATTTCTCTTTTTTTTCAAAAAAAGGATTAATCAATCTAAGACACACACAATTTTACATGAAAGGTATAAGTTATATCAAGGATAGGCACATAAACAAGTGTTTATGAAAGTTAAAAAAAAAATTCTTTAGCAATTTTGATACAAATTGTTACCAATTGTTAGCCATTTTATTCAACAACTTTCATAGAACACACATACTTCAAGCATATGAAAGATTTATTCAATATATATATAAATGATAATAGTAATCTTTCTAAAAGTTATCATATCCAAACAAGAATAAAAAACTCATGTATTTAATAAAGCATGAATACTAATGAGCAATAAGATTCAATCACATGTTCTAACAAAGATTATATAAGCATGATTTTTCAAATATGAGGTGCACATATGTTATAGCAAAGAAATAATGAAAGTATAATTATTCAAATATAATCCAAATTATTTCAATGCAAAGCAATATTTCTAATCCAAACATATGTAAGTATTCAATCATATATTTCAATCAAAATCATACAAGCATATACAAAATACATAAACAATATACCTAATTAAAAAAATATACAAGCATTTAGGAACAATTTGAAACTTGCCATCTCAATGATCTCAATCAATGAACATGTTCAAAGAAATCAATTATTTAACTCATATCCATGTCCAAAGATTCAAACGAATCTTCATGCAATTAAAACTATTAATCAAAGCAATCAAGAACTAGGCATGAATATTAATGAAGGTGAATTAATCAATCCAATCTTTTAACAAAGTTAAGACAAATTCTATCAAGTAGCTAGGTGATTAATTTGTGCAAAGTGTTTATATGTTCTTGCACAACATCTCATTTTTGCACACAATCAGAGCAAGCATTTATCAAATCATGCATTAATCATTATAAATCATAGGCACATGGCGTAGATTCAATACAATTACCTTATCAAGCTATGTTGTTGTGCTCATTGTAGTTGAATGAGACTTTAAATCTTCCATTCCACATTATTTGAGCTAGTCTTTGATGTACTTAGGCTTAATTGATGAAGATGATTTACTTTACTTGTTCCACTTGAAATTTCAAAAATGTAGGCTTATTCATACCCATTTCAAGTTCTTCTAGCATACACTTAAAAAAAAATTTTTACAAAGGATTTTCATTAGAAGCACTAAGAAAATCAATTGATAAAAATTATACCAATTGTTAGAAAATAATTCCATATTCTAAGTCATTATAGGCAAAAGAAAATTTATTTATTAAGCTCAAGTTGCCAATTGCAAGGGAGATATATACTTAAGCTAGATGTCATATATCAATTTAAACATTAAATATTACAAGAATGTCACTAAAGCAAAAGTTCTCATGTAATATGTAAAAATCAAACCTTTTAGATCATTCATGAACTCAAAATAGACATATTCAATATTTATGTATATTCAAGAAATCACCAAAGAATATGTCAAAATAAATTTTATGCTATATAAAAATTAAAAACTCAAGGAAGACATATTTATTATAAAAAATATATTCAAGAAAATTTTAGCACAAAGACACATATATCTCTACACAAATTATAGGCCATAATGGATAATGATTTAAGGTAAAAATAAGCATTGTAAGAAAATCACTCACTTAAGCCATATTGCAAGTATGTCAAGTAAAGCTCAATCGTATTCATATAAGCATATACTTGACAAGAGCAATAGGTGCACTGACAACACATTATTTAAAAAAAAAAAAAGAGTTTATCAATTTAAAAATACAAAGCAAGAGATAAAACATTTAAGCACAAGAGCAAGCATATCACAAAGGTATTTCACAAATTAAGATATAAACAATTTAAGCACTTTCAAATCATAAGTATTAAGGTCAAGTTGAATCGTTTATCATATGAACACATATTTTGACCAAAAACATAAAGATGAACCAAGAATCAATATATTCTATTTAAGCACATAAAGTTCATCAATTCATCAATTACATGAAAAGAAATAGATCTTGAATTAATAAGGATAAAGAATTAAAGCATATTTTAAAACTATTTCATAAGAAATCAAAAGATAAATAATCAAACATCAATATTTATATTTAAGCACAAGATGATCATCAATTTTTAAAATTATAAATCAAGAGTTACAACAATTTAAAATATAACAATCAAGTTTTTAAAAAAAATTATTTCACACTCTCAAAGCATTAAGAACAAATTGAGTAATTTTAATCAACATGGTCATATAAGTATATGCAAAATACATCTCAAGCATTAAACATAATATCAACAAGCATGAGGAATATATTAAAATTATACATTCAAAAATAAATAAATAAATGCATACTTAACTCAAGCTCACATTTTCTCAAGATTACGCAACATATATCTTGTAATCAATGTCAATCAAATTTTGCATAATCAATCAAGCATTCAAATTTCATCAAGAATAGATAATCAAATTTAAATTTTAAATAAAAGTTTAGAGATTATCCATCTTCATTGTGTGTTTAGAGTATTTAATTTTTAATATTATATTGTGGCTCCTTACTCTAGCACACCTACAAGAGACAATCTCATTTGATTTTTGGTACCCAAATTGTTTTAGGTCATTGAGAGTTAGTTACCAAATTTTTTGTTCCTTTAGGAACCCATACTTGCTTAATTCTAAATGAAACTTTTCTTTTAATATGACAAGTATATAGTATGGCCATGAAAATTATAAAAATTACATTTAATCATTTGATAATGTTTTTCATTATCAAAACATTAAATTTCTTTTTCAAATCAAAATTTTCTTTTTCTAAATTTTGTACCTATTTTAAGAGGTTTCAAAATCTTTTTTCATTTTTTTTTCAAAACATTTTTTGCATTCATTAAAAACTCATTCTCTACATTCAACTTTGAAATCATTTTCTTATATTTTCTCTTCATTGATTCATATTCAAGATATAGCTCATTATAAGCATCTTGTAATTCATCAAAAGCATATGAATTTGAATCAATAGAATTAGAAGTTACCTCTGAATCTTCAAGAGCCATGAAACATGATGCATTTCGATTAGATTGTTGTCTTTCATGTATTTCATTCAATTTCTCTCATATCTCATTTGAGGTTGGATATTTTGATATCAAGTTGAATTTATGAGAGTCAAAAGCTTCATATAGTAAGCACTTGACCTTGGCATCATCCATCACTTGCCTCATGTAGTTTGCATTATTTAAAGGAATTTCAAGCTCTTTTTTAATCATATTCCAAGCTCTAAAATCTTGGGCCATTATGAATATCTTCATCTTTCTTCTTCATTCACAAATTTTAAATTTATCAACTATAGGAGCTTTGAGGACTTTCTTACTATCTTGGAACCGAAATTGAGTTATAGGATCTTTACACAAGGTGGTTAAACCTACAAAAAAATACCAAAGCTCTGATATCAATTGTTAGTTTTTTAGGTGAGATGATGATCTAAGAGGGAGGGTGAATTGGATTTCTCCAAAATTTTTTCAAACAATGATTTCAATATAGTTGAATGAAAACTAAAACAATAAGCACTTTTTATGGAAATATAATGCAAACAATAATAATTAATGAACCTAAAATCAAATATAAACAACAATAAATTGTAAGGAGATAGGGATAGAGAAATTAAACACAATGATTTATAGAGGTTCGGTCCTTCTTCACAAGGCACTTATGTCCTCTCTCTTGGTTGTCCACACCAAGGCTTCAATCCACTAATTAAAGAAAACTTTTACAAGATACAAACATATATTGTACTAAATCTCTATCTTTTTCTCAAGGCTTAGATAGCAACCTCTACCCTTAAAATATCAAGAGGATTCCTCACATTTTGTTCTTTTTCACCCTTGTATATCAAAGGTAATTTTGCAAACAATTGAACAACCTCTCTAAGGCTAAGTGTTTGTTAAGTTTAAGTACAAGAAAATGATGAATGAACAATAAATATAATTTGGATACAATAAATGCAAAGATATGGACTTTGAAGCTCTAAAAACTCTTGATTCTTTGAGAGAATGAAAATATGGTTTATTGGCTATTACTCTTTTGATTCATCAATCATCTTGGTGTGTTGGAGTGTCCAATCTATAGAGGAATTGAAGAAGTAGCCGTTGGAAAAGCTTGGAGTGAAGAAATGCCCGTAGAAATCATAAAAAAGTAGTCGTTGGTGTGCTTGCGCCCAGAACCGATCGATCTTTTGCTTGAGGGGATCGATTGGTTCATGTTTTAAACCATTTTTCACTTGAAAACAGCCTAACCAATCGATCTCTTTTTGTAGGGGATCGATTGGTTAATGGGGTGATCAATCCCCTATGTGGGGGGATCGATTCTTTTTCTGGATTTTCAATCCTGGGAGCATTCTGTTTGAAAAAGTAATCGATCCTTACTAGAGAGGATCAATCTTGTCTATGCTGGGTGGTAGTATCCCTTTTTGCACTCTACTTACTAATTTGATCATATCTTGAGTTATACAAATTCAAATTACAAACCGTTTGAAGATTTAGAAACTAGACTTAAAGGACTTTCTATCCATATAAAGTTCATCACATAATTCATTGTGTACGAATTATAGTGAATTTTCAAATCTATCCATTGTGCAATTTTTCTGACAACTGCAGTGTGTCTAGTAAAAATTCAAAATCTTTTCTTAAAAAATTAAGATTTTAATTTTTTTTATCCATTAGAAAATAAACTCAAAGAGCTTTCCAATTATATAAAATTCAAATATTAAAATTTTGTGAATTAATACAGAAAAATAAAATAAGTTCAATGTTGAAAAATTTTGTTATTGTAAAATAATTTTCTTAAGTTAATCTATTTCTCAAAACCAATATTATCAAAATTGTATTAAATCCAAAATGAATAAATTCACTATAAAAACAAAAATTAGATTTTTATTTAACCTCAAATAAATAATCTTTAAAGATAGATTTGGTTTGAGAAATATGAAAACAAAAAAAGGTTTGTTTTAGCTTTGAAAATCATATTATTTATTTAATACCAAAATATAAAACTTAAGAATATATACTAAATAAATCTTTTTCAAAATATTGATTAAGCTTATTTAACTTAATATTTTGTCATTTTAAAATAAGGATCAATTTAAGGCTAACACAGTCTATGAACATTGTTCATGAGTAAGTAAAAAGTGTCTATCTTATAAAATAATATATAAAGTTATAATAAATTTAAAAATATTTAATAAAAAAATGAATACTTCAAAATTAACGTATAATTGTATTTGAATATAAAAAAGTCTGAAAAAAGATATAAATATTAAATATAAATTGCATGAAAATGTAATATTTTAACATTATAATATAATATAATTTTCAAATTATGTAATATATCATATAATTTAAAGAATATCATTTGATATAATTTTAATATGTTATTAATTAATAATATTATTTAGTATGGTCGTTTAATATAATTATATATTATTTTATCAAATAATATATTTAATATTATATTATTATTTAATATAATTTTAAAATATATTCTTGTTATTTATATTTAATATTATTTTAACAATTATATCATTTATTAAATATTCATTATTTGAATATTTAATATCTAATAATTTAATAAATTTATTTAATAACATTGTTATAATATTTTATGTTATATGAAATAATTTAATATTATTAAAAACTAAATTAAATAATATTTTCAATATAACTTATAACTATGTTATTCATGTTATTATTGAATATATAATTTAGAATTATATTCATTATAATTATTTAATAAACTTAATATTAAAGAAATTTTATTTAATATTTTATATTATTATTACTTCTTAATATTAACTTAATTAATATTTTTAATTATATTATTTAATATTTCATGATCTATCCTTTCATGCTTCAAAACCGAAGGGAACATCATGTATTTTCAAGCAATCAATTCTTTAAGGAAGAAATAGATCCATTTGTGGATTAAAAGAAGAGGATGATCTTTTTAAATAGTAGATCAATCCTTCTTTCACAATTTTGGAAGTTTTGACATTTTTGTAATGAAAAAAGATTGAGTTTTATGAAAAATTATTTGACAAAAAAATTCATTTGAGAACTTGTATTTTTGAGAAAAAGATTGAGATAAAGAAATTTTCCAAAACGTTTTTCAAAATAAATCAAGGAAAATATTAATTTTATAACTTGAAAACCTTATAATTTATCAAGTATTTTAGCTCAATGTTTTGTCATTTAAAAATACAGGGCAATGCAAAGCTAACAGGGATTGATAGATGGCTTTAGCTACTGATCTTTTTCTTTGCCTACTGCTGATGTGATGGTGATCAAGAGCTGATCATAATGTGTATTTTCTTCCTTGGTAAGGATGAAGCAAAGCTGCTTTTCTGCTTGGTTATTCCTTGTTGGAGGATTGTAGTGTGATCAGCTTGTGACTTATGTCTCAGCTTTTGATTGCCTTGTTCCTTGGTAAGGATGAAGTGAAGCATGCAGCCTGATGATTTATATCTCAGCCTACTTGGCTTTTTAGGCTCTGATCAACTGTTTAATTTCTTCTTGTAGTGTTGCTTTCGTGATGCATTAGTAGTCTTGATGGGGATAAGCGTGCTGAGAATTGGACAGTCACTTCTCCCTTAGTGGGGAAACAAAATGATCCATGTATTCAAGTAGTCCTTGTTGTAGTGTTGTATTAGTTTGATCATTATATTGGCTTATTGGCTATCTCCCAATGAGTCTATTCCCCCTTTTAGGCTCTGATCAAACTGATTGGTTTTTCTCTGCGTAGCATTTGTGACGTTTCTTCATGATGACAAGCTTAGTGACATATGATGGGCCCGTGTTAGGATTACCTCGCCCAGCTGGGGAACTCTTCTCTTCATTTACAAATGTTTCAGCAGATTATTAGTCTCATGAGACTGCTTGCTTACAACATGTAACAGGAGAGTATTGCAAATACTTAGGATTTGCAGAATTTTGACATTGTGTATTGTGAGATAGGACAAGCTTCATAGCTGTAAGAGAATTCATTACCAGTAATAAGTAGGAGTTAGAAAGACTTTAGCTCTTGGTGTCTAATTCGCCTCTAGTGCCCTTAGATGTACTCTTATTTTTTTGATAAAAGTAGAAAATAAAAAAAAAATCGTATATTAGAAAGGTTATATGATATTATCCTTTTAAATTTTTGTGCCATCTTGCAGGACATATTAGAGGAAATCACATTCAAGAACTGGGGGAATAAAAAAATATTTCTTTAAAGTAGTTCAAATATATTAAATTATAAATGGTTAAATATAAAAATTTGCTCATGAAGTATATATTTTCTGTCAACTTAGTATTTAAAAAAATAAAATTATCAAATTGATACGTGAACTTTTATTTCATTATCACGTTAATATCTAAATTTGATATCATTAGTTGACTTTATTGCCATGAAATGAGCATTCAATAAATTTTGTATAAAAAATTTTAAAAATTAAAAAACATTCTTTTCAATACAAAAATTTTCTTAAAATTTTAAAAATTTTTGAAATTTCTCGTTTAAATGTTTAAATTTTATATAAAATTTTTCAAAATTCTAAAAAATTATAAAAAATAATAAAAATTTTTAGCAAAATTCTAAAACTTTTTTTTTTAATTTTAAAAATTTTTAAAAATTAAAAACAATTCTAAAAAATTCGAAAATAATTTGAAATTTAAAAAAAAAAATTTTTAAATGTTAAAAATTTATAAAAACATTTTAAAAATAAACTACTTTTATAAATTATAAAAATTATGATAATTTAAAAAATTCAAAAAAAATTGAAAATTTTAATAAAAGTCCAAAAAAATGAAAATTTTAATGAAAAATAAATTTTCTTAATGTTTAAAATATACAAAAACTTAAAAAAACAGAAAATTAAAAATTCTAAAATTTTTAAAAAAATTTATAAAATATAAACAATTTTCAAAAAATAGGAAAAATTCTAAAAAAATTTAATTTAATAACTAAATAATTTCAATTTTCTAAAATATTAGAAAAAATTAAAAATATTTTGAAAAATAAAAATAAAAAACCTTAAATTTTAATAAAAATCCAAAAAATTTTAAAAAAGATTTAAAAATTAAAAAATATAGAAAAAAATAAAATTTTAAGATTCAAACAAATGAGCAATTTTCAGAATTAAAAAAAATTTACAATTTCTTATTTTTTTAATTTTAAGTATTTTTAAGTATTTATGAATTTTTTAAGTTTTAAGAAAATTTTTTTTACTAAAGTATTCTCATTTTTTGAAGTTTTCAATTTTTTTTAAATTTTTGGATTTTTTAAAAATTTTAAGATTTTTTGAAATTTTAAATTTTCCTTAAATTTTTTTAGAATTTTAAAAAAATTGAAAATTTTTTTAGGATTTTTTATAAATTTTTAAAAATTATTTTAGAATTTTTGAAAAACATTTTAACATTTTTTTGAAATTTTGAAAATTTTGAAAAATTTTGAAAAATTTTAAAAAATTCTAAAATTGTTTTAAAATTTTTTTGAAATTTTCTTTTAATGATAACTTGATATTAATGATGTAACGTTGATTAAAATCCTGTTACATGCTAATATCTTATTGGAAGTTCATGCTACATTAACAAAGTTAATTAATGGCATTAGTTCAAGATATTAACATTATAATAGAATAAAAGTTTAGATATCAATCTAATAATTTTATTTTTTTTAGATATCAAACTGATAGCTAGTGTATAGTTTATGGCTCATTTTTATATATACTAAATTATAAAAAAAAATAATAACAATAATAATAATAATAATAATAATAAAAAAAAAATTAAAATTTTCATATCCACTCATGTTAAAAATTTTGCAAATTGTCTATGATGCTATTTGTGCTTGTAATTTATTAAAAACTAAAACTTTCATCCCCGTTCATAAATATTAATTATTATTTGTACTTGTAATTTGTAAAAGTGTGAAAGATTATTGTGTGGGGAAAGAAGCTAAAGTGAATTCTAAATACTTTAAGGTAGCGTTGGGTATTATTCTGAAAATTATTATGATAATATAATCATCAAAGTAAATTTATCATTCGTGATTTGAAATTATTTTATTTGACTAACAATAATTAATTCATATAAATTAAAAATTATTATATTTGATATTATTAAAAATCAAATATTATTTTATTTAAAAATATGAAAATAATCATCCTTATTTTAATAGTTATATAAGTTAATGATTTAAATGTTGCTTAAAAATAATAATTCATAAAAAATAGTAATATTTTATTTATTTTGTAATAAATATAATTAAATTATTAAATTAATAAATATATTTATTTATTAAGTAAACTAATTTTTATAATATAAATTATGTAAGAAAACATTTCAATTAGAAAATAAAAATAATCTATTATAAAAAATAATTCATAAAACATAGTAATATTTTATTTATTTTGTAATAAATATAATTAAATTATTAAATTAATATATATTTATTAAATAAATTAATTTTTATAATATAAATTATGTAAAAAAACATTTCAATTAGAAAATAAAAATAATCTATTATAAAAAAAATACATAAATTATTTTTGAACTTGTTATAATGAATATAAGTTTTAAAATATAAAAATTTACAACATAAAATAATTAAAATTTTAAAAGGAATAAAATTTTTAATTCACATATTAAATAGATAATATTAATTATTATTAATTTTACATATCACTTCTTATTAGTGATAAAAGTTTTTCACCTCTTTTAATAAGAATTATATCACCCTTAAGATAATGATCTGATCACTTTGAATGATCCAAGATCATTGCCATGTAAAATCATCAAGTGTTTATCAAGTGCGATGATTTAATTATTATGTATAAATCACCATAATTTTCAGAGTGATCACCTTATATCAAAAATTATCTAAAAAATTTTTAATGAGTGCCATAAGGAATAACATATGACAAATGGTATTCCTCAACTCAAAATAATGAATCTCATTTACTAACTATAAAACTATAAAGTTTTAGCTTTCAATTCAAGAGATCATTTAGATTACCAAAAAAAAAAAAATTTTCCCATTTTCTATCACCCAAAAAAACCTTTCCCCACTTATATGTTGGAATTGATAAAAGAAAAAATAAAACTGATTTTTAAAAAATATTGGATTTAATATTTTTTCTCAAAGAAAAGTTTTGCTTAGAACATAAAACAACAAAGGTTAGAAAATCTTTTCAATCTCATTCACCATCTAAGCTTCACCATCTATCAAGTAAGATATTTTTTTACTTTTCAAGCAAAAATAAATACACTTATTACTTAATTAAATATTCAAATTTTAACGATAAAAAACAATACATAAATGCATATAAAAAATTCATAAAAATAATTATTTGAGTTGTTTTTAACAATTTATTCTAATTGTTTTTGTTATATGTACCTTATTAATACTTTTTTTTTTTTGCATTATAATTACAAAAAAACGTAAGATTAAATTATTGAAACCATAATCTTTTTGGCCATAATAGATCTAGATAACTTAATAATGGATATATTTTGTTTTTTTAAAGCACACTTTGTTTCATTTTAAACTGTTAATGTAATACTATAAAACAATGACATTGAAAACTGCAGCAACAGACGAGATGCGATACTAATTTCTTTTCTTTTTTTTAAATTGTGGGCTCAAGACCTGATAACCTATAACAGATTCATCCTTACCCCACGAAAAACAAAGTAAACATAAAATTATGTTTTCAGCAGGCTCTCCACTCGTCTCCTCTAAGCTCCGCCCTTACTACATTCAACTCAAAGACCAGTTCAGCCTCGTATAGAGAGCTAAGGACTTATCTTGATCACTTTAGTTCATCTAATGTAATGTAATATATGCTTGTATGTATCTTTACTTTGTATTTTTCAATTTCTATAGTTTTCAAATGAAATGCAACTTTGTATTATAAATACACCTATTAATGAGTTAATTACACTTTTGGTATTTAAATTTTAGAAAAATATATAAACTGATACTTAAAAAATTAAAATATAAATTTGCATCATAAAATTTTAAATTATGTATTATTTAATTCAAATTTTACTATGGTTAACTTTGTTTTCTTATATAATATTTAATAAGTATAATTTTATTTGTACATGTTATTTATTAAATAAATGTGTTAAATATTTTATAAAAATTTCATGTAAATGTTATGTGAATGTTTCGTGATAAATAATAATTGATCGATTCTAAACAATTTTATGGTTCAAGTAAAAATAATAAATTTTTTAATTTATATGGAATAAAAGATATTAATTATATATGTGATGAAAATATAATTTGATAATATTTGTCAAATATCATATTTATAAGTTGATATGATTAGGAAGATTAAAGTTTGAGTTAATATGATACATAATTTAAAAGTTCAAGTGCAAATTGTATATTGTAATTTTTTAGATACCAATACATATATATATATATATATATTCTCAAAGTTTAGATACAAAAAATATACTCCATTGGTCCCATTTTTTTTGTCTATCGTTTCTTTTTGGAACGTCTCAAAATTATATTATTTTTTAAAAATATTTAAAACTCTTTTTTTATATATATTTTAAAATTATTTTTTTATGATTTTTTAATTTTTTTAATATTAAAAATCATGAAATTTTAATTTTATAAAAAATTTAAAATTTTACTATTAAACACGTTAAAATCAAAGATTTTTTTCTTAAATTCCGTGACAGTACATAGCATTAAACAATTTGATACGGAAGGAGTAATTTTCTATAGTGAAATCAATGGCATTCAAGCCTTTTCACATAAATGTATTAGACTCTCTACAAGTATTTATCCTACGCAGTCGAAACTTAAATTATAGTGTTTTTTTTCTTACAAACTGAATGATGATTCTTCAACATCAATGGGTCCACCAAAAGCCAAGCTCCGACACTCCCGACTTTATTTTCATTTGGTTGAACCAGAGTGTCTACCCTGTACGGCAATGCAATAGAATTAGAGCCAAATTTGGTAAATCTTTGACAAAAGAATCACAAGACAAACGAAAGGCCAAGTTTCATATATTTAAAATGATTCAAAAAAAGTATTCCTCAATTGCTGTAACTTTGACAGTGAAGATGCACCAACATAAAAATGGATAAAAATTAAAAAAACAAGGTACCATTGCAGCATTGCAAATGCATTTTCATGAAGAAGAATGTTGCCATTTTTGGCTGTAAAATAGTTTTCATTTCATAATTTGAACATAAAAAGGTATAACAGTTATATGATCAGTTCAGCCTGGAATTAAACATGGTGCACAAGCTTGTAATAGATGAATTCATGAATTTTCTTATGACTAGTACATAGAAGCTTACAGATTCTAACAGCCAATTCCTCGGGACAATTTGATTGTCAAAATGATAGCTAAATGACATTTTTATACATTGCTCAAAACCAACTACACTATTTACTTCATTTATTTATTTTTTCTGAAAGACTTAACAAATTCCTCACGCCATGCTCTTGTAGTTGCAGAGAACACCAATGGAAAACCATATGCAGCATAATTTTTCTTCATCAACCTCTTAATCATCAAGAGAATAAATGCTTCACTTGTTGGGAGATTCCCCTTGACAATTAGATCGATTTCTAACCCTACTGCTGATATTCAATAACCACTGGAGAAAGGAAACTGTTCTGTAAAGATATGAAGGATGGCTTTGCCATATTTATAACGGCACAAGGTAGCAAAGAGTCAAAGCTGACTGCTGGGTAGCTTCTTCAGAACAGAGTGCTCTGGTTTGTGTTCACATTCAAAGCCAAGATGAACAAATGCCCGCTCAACTTCTGGAAGTTTCTCAATCTTTATCTGCAAGGTCTCTCCTATGGTGTGTGCTTCTTTTAATGGCAAATCTTCATGGAGTTCAATGTCCACCTGTATAAACATGACAAGGGTTTTAAAGCAGCCTGTGAAAATATGCTTCTGGGAAGCCAATATCATGCAGTACATCTATAAATTTTTTGACAAGACAAAGGGAAAAAGAAATGAAACTGTGTTAGTAGATTAGTTACATAGTTTCTTTAATACTCGTCCTCTAGTTTGAGAGTTACTCGTTACATGATTTTGTGAATAACAGTTGCAATTTGATGGAAAAGTGCTTAAAAGTAAAGTCTTAAAAGTCATCACATTCCAATGCACTAAATTACAGTTACGCTTGATGGGCTTAATCTCTACTTTGGGGAACAAACAGACAGCTTTGAGGCGACCAGTCAAGAAAATAACATTTAGGATTCAGTATGCCCAACAAGGCTTGTACCGGATTGCTTCATCTTTTTACAATCATAAAAGACTGAATTACATAAAACTGACCTCTACAAAATAAAGAACACCGAATGTGTATGCTCGGACTGTGTCAATACGCTTGACTTGAGGGGGTCTGATGACAAGATATGTCAATTTTTGTAGAAACTCAGGAGGAGCTAATTGTCCCACCAGAGAAACTGCATCAAGAGACCTCATATTCCATTAGTTGTACGCATTAGTGGTTAGGGGTGAGCAAGTCTGATTTACATTATACTTAAAACCTTATCATAACATGATAACACAATAACAGGATAATTTCATTTAAATTCTTTACAAGTTGATAACTCAGCCTTCTTGATCCCTTGCCCAGAAATGCATCCCCGCAATAGGCACATAATAAAATGCAGAATTGATTTCATTTATTAGCTCTCATCATTAGATTGAGAAACTGGCAATTTTCATTTCAATGACTCAACTAATAATTGGGATGTGGGAGCATATTTTGGTAGTTTGCTTCTCCCATCTCCCATCCATCTCATTTACTGACAGGTCATGGAAAAATTTTATACCAAAATGGAAAACCAACATACATAATCTATTCAACCTCTTTTACGGAGTATGTATTGTTAAAATTATCCGAATATATCAAACCTTAGAGACAGAATAGTTCAATAATGGCCAGAATCAGAAATCTTAGGTTTGCTCCTCAAGAACCATCAGACAAATTGCTACTATGGGTAAGAAATAGTTTGCCACTCTTTATTTTCTTCAGCTTTCTCAAAATCTCAAACGCAAAGATCATATATGAGAAATCCTGTTATAAAAAGCTTACCTGCATTTTCCATAACAGTTCTGGACCAATTTGTTATTGTGTAAATTGCAAGGGCAATAGCACCAGCAGGATCAATCCACCAGTAAAATTTATCACCAAGAACTGCTGCAAGTAATCCCACTATATTGTTTACCACATCGAAATAGTGATCCTGGGATTCAGTGTTCAACGGCATTACAGAATTGCCAATCACAAGCAAAGTGACAATAAAGAAATCCTAAAAAAAAATATAGAGCAGAAACCTTTGCATATGCCCGGACAATCTTGTTTGATGAGCTTTTGCAGTAAATCCAGAGGGCAAGTTGTACCACAGTAGCAGACAACATGATGGTGTAAAGCCACACTAATTGACTTGAGGACATTTTTTCTGAAGGTTTATCTTCTATTAGCTGCTTCACAGCCTGGATCAACACTTGAAAGCCTGTAAGTATGTGTGAGGTTATAAAAATTCATTGATATAATAAGGATGCACACTACAAACAGAGGATTCACGATTTATTTTTACTGGGATCTAAGGACCCTTGCAAACATTTTGCATTTTACCCTATGACGTATATGCATTCTGATGTCTTCAGTCCCCTTCATGTTTTATTCATGGTTCCATAAGAGAATGTACCTAGCAACCCAATAAACTCAAGCAGATTCCAGTGTATATCATTTAAAGTACGGTGCACCTCAATAATGAAGAGATCAAGTTTGAAAGTGTAAATTATTTGTGATAAAATTAGTTGTTTTTCATAATATAAAAATTACTTGGGTTGTTTTCCCTAATTGAGTGAGATAGTTGTCATCATTCCATTGAAAAGTGAAAATAACAACCAAAAGATACATGATCACTGGGAGAAACTTAAAGAACGAAGGTCTAATTATTGCTGTACGGAGAATCCAGATTGGAAATCCTTCACAGTTCATCTGAGCAAGAAGGGTGTCCTCAAAATGGGCTTCCCGCAGTTATTCACTAAATTTCAAGCAGATAAAGTGCTAAAACATGGCGACAATAAGAATTTTATATAAAAATTCTTATGTGATATGGCAGGTATCATCATTAGCCAGAGCTAGATAAACTTCTGGTTGAGATCCAATGAAGCCAATTAAGCCTAAGCACTAACTAAAAGAATACATAGTGATGTTTTGATGCCTAATTACTGGTCCTTTAATAATTCCTAGACACCCAATTAAAATAGGAACAAATTTTTTTAGGAAAATATGCTATAATTATCTGCATGATGTGTTTAATTTTATGCATACTTTACAACAACGTTAAACAGAAAGGAGAAGATGAATTTATCAAAATTTTTCATTTGAAATATCTATATATTATATTAATTATAAATTTTCAAAACCACTAATTAAATTTTATTTAAAAATTTTTCAAAAATTAATTATAAAACTAAATAAAAAAATTCAATCCCACCCTCCAAACACCCTACCACACCCAATCCCTCCCCACCCCCATCAATCCCTCTCCACCTTACCTCCCAACATCCCACCACACCCAATCCCTCCCCACCTTCCTCCCAACGCCCCACCACACCCAATCCCTCACCACCTTCCCCCCAACGCCCCACCACACTCAATCCTCCCCACCCCATCCAATCTCTCCACGTGCCTAATATATCAAATTGTTTAATTCTTTCTAACAAACGGAGACCCTTCTAAAAACGCTCCATTTTTCTGTTCATCATCTTCTTCGTCTTGCATCTTACCTTATCTGACTTTTCAAAAAAATTTTCTTTTTTTTCTCATCTCTCATTTTTTCTCATATCCCTTTATCACTACAACTTGCTGACTTACCTAATATCTACAGATATCTCGTTCGTCTTTCAACTCTCACAAGATACAACAGATCATTTTATAGAAATTTTACAAAAAAAAAAGGTAATTTAACTTTCTTTTCTTACCTTGTTTGATCTTGAATGTTGATTGAAAACTCGATGTTGATTTGAATTTGAATGCCAAAAATGCCGTTTGAATGGTTGAAACTTGAAACTTGAAATAATTGATATGTTTTCTAGCTCGTTTTAAAATTTTTTTTGATGATAAAGATCTGAGATTGTGACTTGTGAGCTTTATTTTTTGAGTTGGCTTTTACTTTTACTTTTGCAGGTTTGTTGTTTTATTTTGCAGCCTCAAAATTTTATTTTTTTGTTAGAACTATTAAATCCGTGAGAAAAACGGAATAGCGACAATAACGGTCCGTTGTTGCCGCTATTGTCCGTTACGCCGTTATTTTATGGTCGTTACTCTCCGTTTTTGCTGTGAATGAATTTCTCAACCGTTTTTTATCTATTAACGGTGACGGAAGGCAGTGCTACCGTAATTTTGCGGCCGTTATTCCGCTATCAAACCGTTATTTGAATCCCTGACTCCAACCACTAGTTCTTTGTCTGAATTCTTGTCTTCTGTGTCACTCATGTTGTGATTCGATACTATCTCGCACGGCTTGTCTAGTAGCAATATCTTCATCAATAAATTTTTCATAATCATCTTCCCCTCTTAACTATGATAAAAATTCATTTTTTCTTCTTTTGTGGTCAGCCTTTTTTATTTGCTTTCTTGAAGGACTTTCATCACACTTTCTCTTACTATACCTATTAATAATATAGTTAAAAAAAAAAATTAGTTGCACATGCTTATGTAATTTTATAATTTTTATTAAAAAATTAACAATAATATTTTCAAAGAAATTAAAAAAACATAACATACTAGTAACATTGGGGCATGGTGCAACATTGCCAGTTTTATGAGCAATGTGTTCTTTGAAACGTGTTATTCCTCCTTTTACAACTTTACCACAAAGTTTACAAGAAACATTTCCTCTTGTATTTGGCACAGATGTTTCAAAATGCCAACCTATATCATCACTTGACGCGCCCTCTACTCCTTTACTCGAAAACTCTTCACGTGGTGGCATACTTACTATTTTGTATAAAAACAAAATAAACTTATATTTAAAAATATTAATATTACTTATTACATCATTAAAAATTGATTTTACGGTAATTTTTTAATTTTTAGTTTTTAATCTTAAGAATATTATTAAATAATTTAATCTTTTTTATGCACTAATTGATATTAATTTTTTTATCACAAATAACTTCAAATAATTATATAATAAATACAATCTTCAATAATTACACAAAAATAATAAGAATTAATCTAATATCAAAAGAATTAACAACAATATAAATATCAAAACAACAAAAAAAATTATTAAATTTCATATACAAAATTATCAATTAATATCTAACACAATCAAAATATAATATTTAATTTTAATTAATTTTTGTCTAACTTATATAAAAAATTTATCAATAATTTTCATCTACAATCTCTATGTATATCATAATAAATTATTAATCTCTTATTTTTTTAATTATAAATCTTCAATCCCTCTAATTAGATTTTATCTAAAAAAAATTTTAAAAATTAAAAGTTTTCAAACTTATATTTTAATAAAATTTTCAAACCTATATTTTTTATTTTTTAGTTTTTAATCTTAATAAGAGTAATAGATCATAAAATGCTAAATTTGTTAAGTAACTTAATTTTTTTGATACAATAATTGATATAAAATTTTTTTTATCACAAACAACTTTTAATAATTATATAATAAACACAATCTTCAATAATTACACAAAAATAACAAGAACTAATATAATATCAAAAGAATTGACAATAATATAAATATCAAAACATCAAAAAAAAATTAAAATTCATATACAAAATTATAAATCAATATATAACACAATCAAAATATAATATTTAATTTTAATTATTTTTCATCTAACTTATACAAACAAAGTTATCAAAATTTTTCATTTAAAATATCTATATATTATATTAATTATAAATTTTCAAAACCACTAATTAAATTTTATCAAAAAAATTTTCAAAAATTAATTATAAAACTAAATAAAAAAATTCAATCCCACCCTCCAAACACCCTACCACACCCAATCCCTCCCCACCTTCCCCTCAACGCCCCACCACACCCAATCCCTCCCCACCTTCCCCCCAACGCCCCACCACACCCAATCCTCCCCACCCCATCCAATCTCTCCACGTGCCTAATATATCAAATTGTTTAATTCTTTCTAACAAACGGAGACCCTTCTAGAAACGTTCCATTTTTCTGTTCATCATCTTTTTCGTCTTGCATCTTACCTTATCTGACCTTAAAAAAAAAATTTTTTTTTTCATCTCTCATTTTCTCTCACATCCCTTTATCACTACCACTTGCTACTTACCTAATATCTATAGATATCTCGTTCATCTTTCAACTCTCACAAGATACAACAGATCATTTTACATAAATTTTACAAAAAAAAAGGTAATTTAACTTTCTTTTCTTACCTTGTTTGATCTTGAATGTTGATTGAAAATTTGAGGTTGATTTGAATTTGAATGCCGAAAATGCCGTTTGAATGGTTGAAACTTGAAACTTGAAATAATTGATCTGTTTTCTAGCTCGTTTTAAAGTTTTTTTTTATGATAAAAATCTGAAATTGTGACTTGTGAGCTTTATTTTTTGAGTTTGCTTTTACTTTTACTTTTGCAGGTTTGTTGTTTTATTTTGCAACCTCAAAATTTTATTTTTTTGTTAGAACTATTAGATCCGTGAGAAAAACGAAATAGCAACAGTAATGGTCTGTTATTGCCACTATTACCCGTTACGCCGTTATTTTACGGCCGTTACTCTCCGTTTTTGCTGTAAATAAATTTCTTAACCGTTTTCTATGTAATAACGGTGGCGGAAGGCAGCATTACTGTAATTTTACGGCTGTTATTCCGCTATCAAATCGTTATTTGAATCTCTGACTCCAACCACTAGTTCTTTGTTTGAATTCTTGTCTTCTGTGCTACTCATGTTGTGATTCGATACTATCTCGCACGGTTTGTCTAGTAGCAACGTCTTCATCAATAAATCCTTCATAATCATCTTTCCCTCTTAACTGTGATAAAAATTCATTTTTTCTTCTTTTGTTGTCAACCTTTTTTTATTTACTTTCTTGAAGGAGTTTCATTATACTTTCTCTTACTATACCTATTAATAAAATAGTTAAAAAAAAAAAGAGAAAATTAGTTGCACATGCTTATGTAATTTTATAATTTTTATTAAAAAATTAACAATAATATTTTCAAAGAAATTAAAAAAACATAACATACCAGTAACGTTGGGGCATGGTGCAACATTGCCAGTTTTATGAGCAATGTGTTCTTTGAAACGTGTTATTCCACCTTTTACAACTTTACCACAAAGTTTACATGAAACAATTCCTCTTTTATTTGGCAGAAGTGTTCCAAAATGCCAACCTATATCATCACTTGGCGCACCCTCTACTCCTTTACTCGGGAACTCTTCATGTGGTGGCATACTTACTATTTTGTATAAAAACAAAATAAACTTATATTTAGAAATATTAATATTACTTATTACATCATTAAAAATTGATTTTACGCTAAATTTTTTACTTTTTAGTTTTTAATCTTAAGAATATTATTAAATAA